TAGAGGCTATCTAACTACCCACACCCTTCAAACTGCACCCAAAGCCACCTTTCTTGGGTAGGCGGTCTTAACAAAAGTCCTTTTAGTTATAAAGGAAGCAACCGTGGGTTTTTGGAGCCCTAAGAGGAGAAAGTGAACAAATATTAGGAAACTGAGAATACTATTCTATAAAACATATTTTAAAGTAAAAATGAAATAATTAGGTTTTAAAATTTATAACTCTTCAATCTGGGAAGTAAACAATGACGCTGTTATAAACAGGTCTTATTTAGGAAGCATGTGGGATAGTTAGAGTCAAGAAGCCGAGAAGAGAACACTGGCACCAAAATTAAGGTTTTTAAAGAGATGGTGCCACGAGAGGGATGGGCTCTTGGGAGTAACGTTTGTCAGAACACTATTCCATGCCAAGGGAAAGGGGAATGCCTGGGCCAGGCTCTAATACAGTGAAGTTACTCTTGTTGTACCTAATGGATGCTGGACCACAGAAATGACACCCACCCCCCAAGTAACCGAAACAACCCATTCCCCAAGCCTCAGTATGTGGGACGTCTCCTACCCGCGGCAAAGAGGCGCCCCAAATCAGACAAAGCCCCAGACCTTCACCAGGCAAGCTAGTCTCCCGCTGCACTTTCATTCCAGCCCAGCTCTGTCCTTTTGGAGGTCTGCTCCCACCCCACAGGCTCTTCAGTTCTCTCTAGACACAGCCCGGCACACCCCTCCCGATAACCAGTGCCCTGTGTAGCCCAGGGCTCCGATCTCGGGATCAAACCTCCAAACCTAATGTTGGGATCCCACTCGCAGCCGCGTTTTTCGCAGCCACTTTCTGGTCAGTACAGCCCGGACAGAGGCTCGCTCCCAGGTCACCTGCTGGACGCCTCAGCTCGCACCTGGTGGACCACACTCCCCCGTCGTCCTCGCCCCGGCGCCGCGAGCCAACCTGAGAGCTCGGCCTCTCGGGGACGACCGTCACGCCCCGACGCGACGCGGAGCTCCAGCCGCCAGGATCTTTGCTCCTCTGGGCTCCCCAGGGCCACCTTCCCCTCGGCCGCCTCCAACCGTCTCAGCCCCACCGGACGCCGCCATCCCTGACGGCCGCACTGGGCACAATTCCCGCCGTTCATTGGCTGTTACCTAGGCAACCGCGAGCAACGCCACTCCCCATTGGTCCAGTCCTCCTCCGTGCCATCTTTGTGAGGGGCCTGGGCCAAAGATCTGAAAGAGGGGTGGGGCTGAGCCTGCTGTCCCACCTCCGTAACCCCAATAGAAAAGGAGAACCCAGGCTTCACCTCTCCAGAGACCCCCAGGCAGAAACTTTAATCCCACCTAAGCCCGAACGTGTGTTCAAAGTGGCTACCAGCTCAAGAGGTTGTGATTTTTAGATTCACAAACAGCTCCGCCGCTAAGTATGACGAGAACCTAAATCCAGCTTTCGAAGCTCAGCTTTATAATTAGGGAGGCGCTGCACTTTTGCCTTTAAAGGGACTACTCGTTGTGTCCCCCATTCTCTGTATTTAAAATATATTGCCATCATTGGAACAAATTTTTCCAAATACTGTTCCCAAATATCCGTGTAGTCCTATGTTTTGTTTACTGAACTGTGTGCGAGCAGCGTGAGAGTTCTGCTGGGCTTGGAAAGCCACTGTCGTTATTGCCTCTCTCATGAGGGCTTATTACACGCGCGAGGCACGGAGAGACAAAGCGAATTACTTCAGATTGTTTTTTCTGGATTGGGATTTCTTCAGCCGCAGGCTAGAAAATGATAATGATGACAATAATAATGGCCTTTTCAGGACTCGTATGAGAACACAACGCAAAAGGAATGGTAGTCGGAAGTTATTTTTAAAAGATTTGAATTCTGTGTTCACATACTATCTCTGTTACTGATTGGGTTTGTTTTTGAGTAACTTAGTAAGCTCTCTAGCTTGTAAAATAAAATCTGAGCAGTAGATTCAATAGATTTCCAACAGTTGCTTGGTAATATAAGCTAAATTGTAGACTGTGGATTAAAGTTAGTTCAGTCATTGAGAGAATGAAATGTAAGGAAAGGGACGTTATTAGAATTCGTGTTAGGAAAAATGTAGAAAAATGAGATTAAATCACAGATTCTGTGGGGCTACATCATGGAAAGACCTGTAAATTAGCAAGATGTTTAGTTTCTTAGTAAGCTGTCTTATTGGGTAAGGACTAATCACGCAGTGTCCAGCATCGCAGGAGTTAGAATGGCAGTTAAAAGAGCTAACCCATGTAAGATGTTTCAAACAATGCCCTGTGCATACTTAGCTCTGGGTGAGTGCTAGCTCTCTGTATGTATCAGGGCGTGTTTTGACATGCTTACATGAAAGGGAAATCAAGTTCTAAGTGGTAGACACAGAGATAAAATCTGAGGGGATTTCTGTAGAGAAAACTCAGAATTCCAGGGAGAACTCTTGAGTCCTGGATCCTCCCTTGATCATAATTTTAACTTCTTAATCTAAATGAGATGAGTAATGTCAAATATCATTTCCATGGTTCTGAGGACTCATGAGGCAGACATCACTGCATTAGTTAGGTAGACATCATTCAATTAGTTGTGACTGAAAGGCCAGTGGAATTCTATATAGATCTCTGGCTGCCATGCTTTCTCTCTCTCTCTCTCTCTCTCTCTCTCTCTCTCAGAGGGGTTCATTTGGGAAAAAAAAAGCCCAGGATATTCTCATACATACAACCAAGCAATAGCTCTTTTAATTCAATGCTTCTAGTGAGTAGGACCAAGAAAGCAGGATTATGGGCGCTGGTGAGATGGCTCACTTGCCACCAAGCCTGAGAGCTTGAGTTTGACCCCTGGAGCTCACACAATGGAAAGAGAACTAATGGCTGTCCTCTGACCTCAGCACATGCACACACATGTGACACACACACACACACACACACACACACATATTCAGAAACACACACAAATTAAATAAATATAAAATATTAAGGTATGATTATAAAGTATTGGCGGTTATGTGATTGGCCATCTTCTGTGAAACTCTTTCTTCCAGCTGCTGGCGACTCAGAAGAAGAAAAACAAAAATGTACTTAGCAACAATTTCAGCAGTTATGAAAGGGGAATGTTTAAGGAGGGCTTTTAATGTCCTGAGTACAATGCTAAATGCTTTATTTATAGAGTCTTTTCTCAATCAAATGAGGTAAGGGTAGTAATTACCATTTTATAGATTAGGAACTTTAGAAATTAACTTCTTTTCAATTGGAATCACGGGCTGGAAAGATGGCTCAGAGATTAAGAGTGCCGGCTGCTCTTCTAGGGCTCCTGAGTTAGATTCCCTGCACCCACAGAGCGGCTCACAACCATCTATGGTGAGATCTGGGGCCCTTTTTTGGTGTGTGTACATGCAGATAGAGCACTCTACATATAATAAATACTTAAAAAAATAAGAATCGTTTATAGAACAGAGTTCAGCCTCAAATGTCTCTGATCGCCAAGCCCGTGTTTCTATGTATTACATTTTACACTTAAAAAATAATTGTTATTATTTAAAAAAATTATTTGTTTATTTTTATTTTGTATGTATTGGTATTTTGCATGCATGGATATCTGGGTGAGGGTGTTGAATCCCCTGGAGTTACAGACGGTTGTGAGCTGCCATGTGGGTTCTGGGAATTGAACTTGGGTCCTCTGAAAGAACAGCCAATCTTAACTGCTGAGCTATCTCTCCAGGCCCTATTAATAATAATAATAATAATAATAATAATTATTGTTGTTGTTGTTGTTGTTGTGTGTGTGAGAGAGAGAGCACGAGTGAGGAGGCCAGGAGAGAGCTGGAGTTAGAGATTGTGAGCCACCAGGATGGGAGTGCTGGGAACTAGGCACTGAATTCCATTCCTCTGCAAGAGCAGCAAGTGCTCTGAACTGTTGATCTATCCCTGCAGCCCCCATTCTCCCCATTCTTCACTCATGTCTGGGTTTGGAGTGGATGTGCTCCCACTCCTTTCCCTCTATCAAGCTCTTTCCTGCAAAAGAAACTCAAAAGCTCTTTCCTGCAAAAGAAACGTGTCCTCCAGGTACCTGTCACAAGCCCTCTGCTGGTTCACCAGGCCTTTAGCCTTTACCTCTGCTTCCCCTAGGTCAAGTCAAGCAGGCTGTCCTAAATAGGCTTTGGCCTTCTTCCTCTTTTTCTTTGGCAATGCCTTACGTGCCTTTTCTTTCCTTCTTTCCCCTTGTGATTCAGTTACTTCCTTTAGGAGTCGGCTCTAAGTACAGGCTCTGTATACAGCTTTTGCTCACTTTCTTAAGTCTATGAACTATCATAGACTTGAGCTAATATTGTTAGCTCTTTATGTCCTACTGTCCTCAAACGATGTTTATCCAGAGTGGGGACAGAGGCCCATTTTCTCCTTCCCTTTACTAATGGAAACGAGAACCAACGATGTCTAGACATTAAAGTGAATAATGTCAAGCGCTTTTTATTCTCAAGGGACCAAAGCTTTCCTCAATGATCAGATAAAGCATTGACTCATTTGCGCATACACTACGTAAACTGAATGAGGACTGGGGTTTTTAAAAGTTACTGAGATAGTATGGGGGTGAACGGGACATCTTTACTTCATTGTTGTCTCTTCAATTCTTTGAACATAGTAGGTGCTTGGTGACACAAAAATGACTTTTTGCAGTCTCACGGCCAGTTCCTGATAGGCAGTCAATTAGCAAGTGACTAAGAAAGCTGCTATTAGGAAAGCGTCCTACGCTCTGTCTGCCAATTAGAAGCTGGGGCGGGGCTAGGGGCAGAGGGCGTGCCTGAGCCAGGTTTGTTGCTTGGAGCATGCGCAGTCTTCACTGAGGGTGACGCGAAAGCTGTGGAGGCCGTGATTGCGTAGACGCAGGTTCTGATTGGCTACCGTTCGAGCGAGAGGGGCGGCGCCTACGCGTCGCCAAGTAAACAGGGCAGGCTAGGGGCGGAGCTACGGAGGCCCCGCGTCCTGGTTGGCCAGGAGGGAGGTGGGGAGTGCCGTGGATTGGTCGCGTCCGCGAGGCGCTGGTGTGGAGCGCGCCGGGTCCCCGAGCCGGCGGCCTGAGGGATGGACGAGACGAGCCCGCTAGTGTCCCCCGAGCGGGCCCAACCCCCGGAGTACACCTTCCCGTCGTGCTCCGGAGCTCACTTTCCGCAGGTACCGGGGGGCGCGGTCCGCGTGGCGGCGGCCGGCTGCGGCCCGTCTCCGCCGTGCTCGCCCGGCCACGACCGGGAGCGGCAGCCCCTGCTGGACCGGGCCCGGTGCGCGACGGCGCAGGGCCAGACACACACGGTGGCGGCGCAGGCCCAGGCTCTGGCTGCCCAGGCGGTCGCGGCGGCGCATGCGGTTCAGACCCACCGCGAGCGGAACGAGTTCCCGGAGGACCCCGAGTTCGAGGTGGTGGTGCGGCAGGCCGAGGTGGCCATCGAGTGCTGCATCTATCCCGAGCGCATCTACCAGGGCTCCAGCGGAAGCTACTTCGTCAAGGACTCTCAGGGGGTGAGCGCGGGGGAGCGGTCGCGGCGGGGGCGGCGCCCCGGACCGGGGAAACGGAGACTCCGGAGGGTGCAGAAGACAAACTTCAGCGCCGGCCCCCGGCGGGAGTGGGGATGCTCCTGGGGACTGGAGATGGGGAAGCCTCGCGGGATGACAAAATCAATCAGAACCTTTCTGTGTGTGTGCTGGGGGCGGGGGAAGGCGTGAGCGGAAAGTGAAAAGAGGAAATTGACCAGATGCGGGGCTAAGAAGTGCTGACCGGGGCTGCTTTCCAGTCGGTCCCTTAGCTTTAAACTATTGGGACGAGTACCCGGTCCTTGCCTCCGGACTCCGGGCTTTAGGCCTATTCTCTTTCACCGTTTATTTATTTATTTTAGTTTGGCCCAAAGCCGTGTCTTCCAGTTCTGTGGGTCAGTTGACCTGGTCACGGGCTCTGAGGATTTAATTCCAGCCTCTGTGTCGTGGGGTTGTCTGTGCGGGGATCCTAGTTTCCTGTTAACAGTCAATGGTGACCGCGTGGGTGGACGTATCAGTGTCATCTGGCCTGGTTATTGCTCACTCCTGGGAAAAGGCGCACGTCGTAGCTTATGCTTCCTCAGTTTAGGATGTGGAGCTTTAAAAACACAAGACTGTCTCCTGCCCTTTAATTTCTCCCCCAAGCCTGTCAGCAGTTTACTTAGCGAAGGCAGAGTTTTGCTGACCTTAATTTTGTCCGTTGCTTTCGTAGTGGGGTTATGGAAGTAGGTAGGATAATGTGGGGCATGAGGTGACCAGGGCAGCTTCTGAGAAATTTAAATTCGTAAGAATTTAAAACTTTGAACACAGATAAGACCAGAGTTATTAGAGGAATAGTAGGTCAAGATATGTCAGTGCCTTCCTGTTGATGGTTTCTGATGCGCCAGAATGGTTCATGTTTTAAATGTACTCTTGTTACATGGATTAAAACAATGGGTAATTCCCTTGCATTCCCTACCCCACCTCCCCAGGGTTTCTCTGTGTAGCCCTGGCTGTCCCTAAAAATCATGAGTAGACCAGGCCTTGATCACCCTGCCTGTGCCTTCCCCGCGCTGGGATTAAAGGCATGTTACCACCACTCTGCAGCTGGTCCCTTGCATTTTTGTGTGTGTGTGTGAATTGTGTATATATAATCTTAACTTTAAAAAAATTAGCCAGGCGTTGGCGAAAGCCTTTAATCTTAGCACTTGGGAGGCTGAAGCAGGAGGATCTCTGTGAGTTGGAGGCCATCCTGGTTGACTGAATGAGATCCAGAACAGCCGTCTCAAAAAGAAAAAAAATTACTATTTAGGATTTCACTATGTAGCCCAGACTGGACTCTACCTCATGTTTCTCTTGCCTGAACCTCCCAGGTCCTTTGTGGACTCTTTGTTCATCTTACTTTTTAATTTTTAAAAATTTTATATTATATATATTGATATTTTGTCTTTATTTGTGTGCACCATGTGCAATGCCTGATGCCCAAATAGACCAGAAGAGGGTGTTGGATCTTCTAGAACTGGAGTTAGATGGTTGTGAACTATCATGTGGGTGCTCAAAATCGAACCCTGGGTCCTCCACAAGAGCGACTCGTGCTCTTATGTAAAAGTAACTTTTATTCTCCTGATTTGTCCTCTTAGAGGCTTAGTGCCCCCATCTGCTAATCTAGGCATAGTCCTGGAAGCTTCTTCTAGCCTCTGTACAACCTAATCTAGGCCTTGAATGTTTTCAGGCTCTGGGACTTACTGCTGAATAAACTCACCCTTTCTAGTTCTTTCTGAACTCTGGCTGGCTGATTCAACTCAGCTGTTCTGGCTCAAACTCCTCTCCTAGCTGACTGATTCAATCTGGTTTCTTTCAGATTTTTACAGAAATGCTCTGCTTGGTCTCAAACTAACGCTAGCTATTTGTTCTAATCATCTGGCTCCTTGTCATCCTCTGGCTCATTCTGTCTTCACCTGTGTCTAGCTTGTTCTCTCTAACCTGTCTCTGCAAAACTCTCCCAGTAAAACTGCCTCTGAATTCCATGAACTGCCACAAACTCAACTCTCCTGCACTGCCTCTCAACTCACTGATTCAACCGAACTGACTGAACAGCACTGACTAGAACGCAGAAATCTGTACATCTTTGTCTCCTGAGTGTTGGGCTTAAAGATGTGGACCACCATACCTGGACCTAACCTTTTCTTCACCTGGATCTTGCTCTATACTAGGCTGGCCTTGAACTCAGAGATCTGCTTTCGTCTGTCTTCAGGGATTAAAGGCATGTCTGTATTCCAGCCAGAGTAACCATGTTCTGAATTAAAATTTTTGTATACTCTTAGCTTCTGGGCCATCTCTCCAGTCCCCATGTGTGCTTTTCAGATGGGTTGCATGCTGTTGTGTGTAGGTGGCTAGGATGGGTTGTGATGTTGTAGCTCTTGATAGAATCCATTGAATAATCCATTTACCCAGAGAATAGATTACAAACACCAGAGAGCAATTCTGTCAACTGTGTTTGTATAAACTGGATTGGAGTAAGCGCTGAGAATATGCCCAAGGCCCCCTGATTCATCTCCCAGCACAACAAAACAACTCGGCAAGATTTTATCTTTTTCATTCAGGAACAGAATGGAATTAAAGGTAGGAGATGTGTTTTGGGGGCAAGTGGGTTATGGTAGCATGTTGGCTGGTTCTTTCAATAGCCACAGGAAGAAGATTATTATTTTTTTCTCATTTAGAAGTCTGTCAGGTCAGCTGGGAATCGATCTGGTGCTCTGATAGGTGGGACTAGTGGGATCTGTCACCTCAGAACATACACAGAGGACTGACCAGAGGTGTGTGTGTGTGTGTCTTGGGTGTGTGTGTGTGTGATGTTTTCACTTTGCTTTTTGTGGTGTTTAGGATCTCTCATTTTTGGCTATGATTCTCTGTTAAAGGTAAAATCTACATACAGATGTCAAAAAATACTAATATGATTGGCCTATTCTCACTGAAAATGTGGCTTAGGACAGAGGACCACTTCCTAAATTCTTGTGTAGGGTTAGACTGGCCCACAGACACACTGTAGTTTGATTTGTCACCTTAGAATCTGCCCCAAATGTATATATTTTATTGAATTAATGCGTAAGTAGTGCTTACTGGCCAGTGCTGTTTTTAAGCATTTCATGAGCATTAACACTTATTCCCTATAACCTCATTAGCGGTTGGTACTGTTGGTGACATTGGGTGCAGTGTGGCTGATTTGTACCAGGTCCCTCCCCTAGTTTGGCATCTTGGTTCCTAGGTCGTGCTCCTCACCATAGTACTCTTCAGAGGCAGTCAGGCCTCTGAATTCAGTTTTTCTTTGAAGCTCTGTGTTGGTTAGTATCGGACTTGCCTGTGTGTGACATATTTTTTAATGTTATTGACAAAAAAGTTTATTATCTGAAATGTAAGGGAAGTCTATCAGCTTCTCAGAATCAGTATGGTTTTTCATTCACTTCAATCCCAGATTTCCCTGTCCCTAGTGTGTGGCCTATACTTCATCTTTTAAGATAGCTGCTAAAGCTTACTTGTTTGTCAGCTATTGGAAGAAGGGAGAGAAAGAATATGTCTCAACCCTTTTGGGCCCTTCCTAGAAGTTGCACCAGATTTTTCTGCCTACATCTTATTGTCCAGCACAGAGTTGTAGTAGTTAGTTGGGAGCTGTAGTTTTTGTCTTGCCTGAAAGATAAATTAGACGTCTTATATCAGGACAAAAGGGGAAACAGGAGGAACCAGTAGTGTGTGTAATAAGTACTTTTGGAACAGTCTGAAAGAGTCTTTAATTTTTCAAGATTAATTTTTTTTATCTCACTATGTAGCCCTGGCTGGCTTGGAGCTTACTGTGTAGAACAGGCTGGCTTTGAACTCACAGGTTCACCTGCCTCTGCCTAGTTATGGCTGGGATTAAAGATATACAACCTATTTTAACTTTAATTTATTTCACTTATGGGCGAGTCTGCAGGTTTTTATGCCACCTGTATGTGGGTGCCCTCGGAGGTCAAAAGTGAGTGTTGGATCCCCTGGAGCCAGGGCTACAGGCAGTTGATATGGGTGTACCTGATGTGGGTGCCAAAAATGGTGCTCAGGCCCTCTAGAAGAGCAGGGAGTCCTCCAGCTCATTCTGAAAGAGTCTTGACTAGGACAGTCTTGATTCCACTTCCTAGTTTATGGTAGTTTCTGCCACAGGATGATCAAGTAAGGGCCTGAACAGTAAAATGGAAAATGCTAGGTTAAAAGTTGTCATGGTGATGTGTGTTCACATTACTGCTCCTTACTTTCATCTTTGCTGCTTCAGATCTCATGGTCACTCAACTATAGATGTATTTTCTTAGCGTTTACTCTTTTATGATGTACACATTCCCAGGAGTTGTAGGGCATGTGATCTAACTAGTTTAAGAAGATTAGTGAGCCAGGCATGGTGGTGCAGGCATCTAACCCCAGCTCTCAGGAGGCAGAGGGAGGAGGAGCTCTGTGAATTAGCCTCATTTATATAGTGTGTTCCATGCAGCCAAGGCTACATAGTAAAGTAAAAGTAAGATCCTATTATTAGAAAAGGTGGTGATGGTGATTAAATGAGATATCACACATGAAAGCCATAAGTAGTTCCTGATACTTAGCAGGAACATACTCAAGAGTTTTTCATTTTGTCCCTTGATTTTTGTTTCTCCTTTAAACAGGGTCTCAGGTAGCCCAGGCTGGTCTCAGTCTAACTATGTAGCTGAGAATGACTTTGTACTCTTGATCTTCCTGCCAGCACCTCCTGAATTTCTGAAATTACAAGCGTGTTCCATCCTACTGCTACATTTTGTCCTGTTTTACAGTCACGTGCCTAATGACCTCTGTATTAGGCTTTCTTGGATACATGTGCTATATAAGACAGAAATAGTATAATTTTGAGAGGATGTTTTTGTAACCATCAAGAACAGCAATTCATTAATGCTATTGATTTTTGTATGAAGTTACCAGTTACAGAATCTGCATGGTTATCTGTCCACATATTCTAG